CAGCACGTCCTCCCCCACTACACCACCACCAGCCTCCTGGGCCGGTGGCCCCTACTCCGACCCGCCCGCGCTCCCCACCCCGCACTGGGGGCTTGACTCCGGGGAGCGTTTGGGTAGCTGGCAGAACAGACCCCAGGCAGATCTCAGCCCTGCCCAGAGCTAGGCCTGGACGGAGGCCGCGGTCACAACCAGCCGCCGGCTGTGGGGCAGGGGGCTCTGGGGGTCGTCCTCACCCCACCTGGAGCTCGAGGTCTGCGGAGACCAGGCCCCCTTGCAGGCGGCTGTGGGTGTGGCGTTTGATGAGGGTGTGTTGTTGTGTGTTTTTTAACTTGGCCCCACACCTTTCTTGACACTCAGTAATTCACTAGGCGGAGGAGATCCTCTGCTGGCGGAGGTGGAAAATGTCAGAGCCACGCCACTATTTAACTATTAGCGCGCCGGAAAGACAGAAAATGGGGAAAGATGGCCCATTTGGGGATGCTCAGGTGAGAGGTGGAGAGATGGCTTCCCAGATGTTCCCGCCGGGACTCCTCACCCCTCCCCGTCTCATGAGTGGCAACCGGGCTGGGGTCTTGCGGCGGGAGGCAGCTCAGAAGGAGCTGCGGGATCGAAGGACGTGCGGACGCTGCTGATCCCAGGCTGCTGGTCAAAACCTGACTGTGCCCCCTCACCCAAGGCTTCTCTAACGCCCCCACCTCCAGGCTGTAGGTCCTTAAAGGCAATACCCGGAGAAGGGGCCTCCCAGATTTCTTTTGTAAGTCCCGGACTCCCAGAGCAAGACCTGGGAACAAGTGGGCTCCGACCTCTGGAGGAGCTCGTGAAGCAAAAACAGAGTCTGAGCTCCCTTCCTTTACCTCTGTCTAGTCTGAATCCGACGAAGACCCTGTTGCAAGCCCAACTGCCCTAAAGGGGTGAAACAGGGAGGCCTGAGGGGTGGGGGCCCAAGCCGTCCACATTCGCTGCTTTTCATCTCCCCTCTCCCTGCCTGCTCAGCCCCTACCCCATCTCCTTCAGGGCCCCAGCGCTGCCTCATTTGCATATGC